TATGGATCAGGATCTTGATATGGGTGAATAGGGCCCTTTACTCAAGTCTCACCAGCCTGGAATTAAGGCATCTGCTGGGCCTGCAATCTCACCTAAGGTCCAATTCCATGAATTCCTTTTCTTGCCTCTGGAGAAATGAAATGTTCAGGCCCTGGAAAGTATAAAAACTATTCTTTGCCACAAGATGACATTTTGCTTCTCTGAGTCTATCTCATCTGCTCACAATTCCTCTGACCTCAGTAAGGGCCCAATCTCTTTTAAAGCTTCATCTGATTAGGTCAGGCCCACCTGGATAGTCTTGATTAGCCCAAAGTCAATTGACTCAGGACCTTCATGATATCTGCAGAACCCTTTATCTGCCATATAAAATAGAATAGTCAGAGGAAGGAAATCAGATGTGCAACAGGGGGACAGAAATCTTGGATACATCTCGGAATTCTGCCTACCGTGGAGAATTAATCCTGCAGAAGTCAATGCTGTTACATTAATCCTTGTAAAGTAGAGCACTCCTCATACTGCCCTTCTCTTAAAATAATCTTCAAAAGTCCCACATGACACAAAAAATGAACTCCAAATTAATTGTTCAAGGTCCTTCTCCATTTGTCCTAGTAGACACTGGAACCCTTAACTCCCAGAATCCTTCCTCAATGAGTAAGGGATAGGACTCATCCCATACTCTGTGTCCTTTGTATCTGAATACCTGCTTCCTCCAGACCTAATGTGTCCTTTCCCTCCTAACTTAAAGGCTATCCAGACTTCAAGAAGCTGCACTGAGCCTCCAACAAAAGCCTCCAAAGAATGGGTCCTTATTCTTTGGACCCATGTTGAATTTTTTTCTTCATCTGAATTTCTCCTGAAATACTAGAGTAGACTGCAAAAGATGACCATATACTTCCCATCTCACGTGTACATCCCTTTGCAATGCAACTTTGAGAGCCTAAGAGATGGACTGGTCCTGTGACTCTCTTTATCCAACGGAATGTCAGCAAACAGGATGCAAGGAGACACTTACATAGCCCTTGTGCAGGGAGGGCTGGGCACACCTCTGGGGCAGAGCACTTGCCTAGTATGGGGAGGCCAGGACTCTAGCCCAATACCACAGAACAAAGCCAAAGCAAGCACTAGGGAAACAGGGCTTGCCTTCACACTGTCTTGAGGCCCCATCACCACTAGTGACAGGCCATACTGACCTTCCAAATGACAAGAGACATGAGGCCAAGTCACTCCTGTGGCCCCCCCAAATGACAATGGACCACCACCTGTCACATGGAAAATAGCAAAGGTAGTGCTTCAAACCATGAGGCTATATGCCAACTTATATTTCAATTTATTTATTCTTTAAAATAAGGAGATTCAAAATCACCCTTTTCAGTAACATTTCTTTGCTGTTTCATTTTAGTACACATTTTTAAAAAAATGTATTTACTCTGTGTGTTTACACACACAAGCACACAGAGTGCACGTAGAGGTAAGAGGACAACTTTGTGGAGTTGATTCTCTCCTTCCATCTTTATGTGGGTTTCAAGGATTGAACTTTCGATTGTCAGGCTTGTGCTGAGCTATTTGTCCAGCCCTTGGCATGTTTTCTTATAAGAGTTCATTATACTCACGATGGAGAAATTGTATGAACTGGTTTTCAATATTTGAAAGCATTTATGGGAGTGGGTCTGGAAACTTACACAAACACTTGGCTTCAAAAGAGAGAGAGATTGTATTTGTTTATTATTTATTTGTGAGACAGGGTTTCACTATGTAGTTCCTACTGGCCTGGAACTCACTATGTAGAATGGAATGGCCTCTAACTTAGAGATCCACCTGCCTCTGTCTCCAGAGTGCTGTATTTAAAGGTGGACACCACCATACCCAGCAAGATTTTATTTTATTTCTCTACTTACATGTATATGTATGCCTGTGTATCAGTTTGTGTCTTTGGAGACCAGAAGAAGGTGCTGGATGCCCTGGAGCTGGAGTTACAGGTAGTTGTGAGCTGCCTAAAGTAGGGGCTAGAAACTGAACTCAGGTCCTTTGCAAGAGCATTATGTGTTCTTAACTACAGAGTCATCTCTCCAGATTCTCAATGACCAACCCAAGTACCATTAACAGGTAAATGTACAAATAATTTGTGGTATATTCATATACAGAAATACTATTCAACCACAAAAATAAATGAGATTTTGATACATGATATAACATGGATAAACCTCAAAGCCATATGCTTAACTGAAATTAGCTAGACATAAAAGGGGCATGTATGACTCCACTTGCAAGAATTATTTAGAATATGAATTTTATGTATATCATGAATGTAATTAGTATCATTGAATTATATATTTTATAATGGCAAATTTCATGTTATTTATTTATTATAGGAGTTAAAATTAATAGTGTAATATAGTCAAATTCATTGAATTGGATACTCTAAACAGAAGACTTGAACAGCATGTGAACTGTATCTTAATAAAGCTATTTTTTATTAAAAACATAAAAATCAGCACACCACGCTCAGTGGGTAAAGGTGCTTGCAGTCAAACCTGATGACCTGAGTTCATCCCCAGGACCCACATGACAGAAGGAAAGAACTAACTCTGACAAGTTGTCCTTTGACATCCATGTTTACACCACAACATGTGCAAGCCCTTGCCAGGTGCACACTAAATAAATGAGCAATTAAAAGAAAACCCCTTCAACCTAATTTCTAGAGAGTGTTTTCACCACAGAAAATCAACAGGCTCAAATTTAACAACACAGACAGCAAGTAACCTGCTGTGGGATGGTCTTTCTGTGTGCTGTGAAAATGTGTTGCTACCACTGGTTAATAAAGAAACTGTTCTAGCCTATGACAAGACAGGTTACAACCAGGCAGGAAATCCAAGTAGAGAGACAGGGAGAAGAAGGGTGAAGTCAGGGCAGATGCCATCCAGCTGCCTAAGGAAAAAGATGCCAGCAGACCTGTAACACCACAGCCAGGTGTCAAAACATAGATTAATAGAAATGGGTTAATTCAAGATGTCAGAGCTAGCTAGCAAGAAGCCTGAGCCATAGACCAAACAGTCTGTAATTAATACAAGCCTCTGTGTATTTATTTGGGACTGAATAGCCGCAGCACACAGGAAAACTTCCATCTACAATAACCATTGTTGACTGACTTTTCATTTTGAGGGAAGGAGGTTATCAGTATGAATATTGAAAATATTCTAAATGCCCATATTTTCCATTGAATATTTGAAAACCATATTTGAAAATTCAAAGGCACTTAGATTTAGAGTTATAGGAAAAAGTTATTCATGTAAATTTTACCTCAGAAAACCACCAAGTCCTAGGTAAATACACTGGTCCTTAGCTTACAGAGGTACCACCTTGTTCAGCATATTTCCATAAAAATAAGCCTACTGCCTTAGTTGATGTTTCTATTGCTGCGACCAAACAAAAAGCAAGTTGGGGAGGAAAGGGTTTATTTGGCTTATACTTTAGCCTTGCTGTTCATCACTGAAGAAGTCAAGACAGGAACTCAAACAGGGTAGGGTCCCAGAGGCAGGAGCTCATCAGAGGCCATGGAAAGGTGCTGCTCACTGGCTTACTCCTTATGGCTTACTCAGCCCACCTTATAGAACCCAGGACCAGTAGCCCAGGGATAGCACCACCCAACATGAGATGGCCTCTCCCCATTGATCACTAAATGAGAAAATGCCTTACGGCTGATCTCATGGAGGCATTTCCTCAACTGAGGCTCCTTCTTCTGATGACTTTAGCTTGTGTCAAGTTGACAAAACTAGCCAGCACATCTACAAACACAAACAGACACATTCCACCTCTAGTCCAAGTTTCTGATGTACTTCTATATGATGGACACCTGCAGCTCTTTGATGAGTGAAGCATGATAAGAGAAAATCCTCCAGGCTTCCCGCTCCCAGGCATCCAATTTCCAATGAGCAATCAGCCGTTTCTGTACACAGGGCATGCACTCTGCACCTGTGCACATATGCAGACCACCCACTCTGCATTAGCTGCCCTACACTGCTGGAATGAAAGGCAGTCAGCATGTTGGTGCAACTGAAAGTTTTGGAGGATCAGAAGTTAGGGGGTCAAGTTCCATGTACATACACACACACATGTGCACACTGTCCCCAAGGTCTGTGTGACAGTACTGTGCTCCTGGTCTTAGTCTACTCACTTATAAAGGTAAAGCCCACCTTAAGCTATTTACTTAGGCTTCTTCTCCTCCTAAAAGAGATTTAATATTACTAGTATGATTTGATTGGTTTGTTTACTCAGACAATTTTTTTTCAATACCTAGTAAGTTTTCTACTCAGGGGACACAGAAAAACTTGTTGGCCCCAAATTTCCAATCAATTGCAAAAACACATACCTTAGCTTTTATGAGGCAGATGTTGCTAAGTGCTCAAAATGTACCTCACGAATGCTCTATTGAACACCAAGGATTCCAGTGTTCTCAAATTTACACCCAGAAAAGGAACTCTGGCTTAGAGAAGCAAGGGGAAGTATTAGCTCATTTAATGGCATGAGAAAAAAACGACACCATATGGAAAGCAATGCAAGGATTAAGTGTGTACTTATAAGATACGAAGTCCTGAGTTCCCAGATTTGAATTTCTAGTAAGTTTGGCTACTTCTCTCTTCTGTGGGAGAAAAATGTCAAAATCATTTTTTAAAAAGAATAATGGAAGGGGGCTGAAGAAAATGAGGATAAGGGTTGGGTTGAATAACTTATACATTTACCAGGGATTGCCTGGGTATAATTATAAACTGCCAATCACCATAGTTCATTGACACTCCGACTTTCGAAAGCTATCTTAAAATTTACAAAAAGGAAAGGAAAGAAGAAGGGAAGAGAGCAAGTGAGAGTTTACCTAAAAGCCTACTTACAAGACTAGGCAGCTTACAAAACCACTACTGGGTGCTCAATGATATTGTCCAAGTGGAATAGACTCTCAAAACCATGAACAACTGAAAACAGAATGATTGTGAAAAAGAACTGCTTACTGTCTTGGTGAGTCTGGGGAGGACTCCCTTTCTGAATCAGGAAAGCTTTGGGTGTGCAAACTGTAATCAGTGAAGAGCAGATCTCTTTGCTGCTCGGTGTAGACTGATCGTGAGGCCTGCCTTCCATCTTCACCCTCCATCTTGGCTCCTGGATTTGGCAGTGACTCCAGATTCTCCAAAATGAGATCATCATCACTTACAGAAACTGTGAGGTCACTGCTGCTGCATGAACTTTCCTCCTCCTCCTTCTCCTCCTGCATTTTCAGAAAGGCCTTTTGTGACTTTGGGTCCCCATGAGCAAGAGCATCTGCGAGAAGAAAATGAATGCATTGTGGTTGGTTGCAAACTTTAGAGAATCCAAGTAACAGAGAACAGAACGTCATCCCTTAAAAAATGTATAGAAAATTCCTGGTGTTTCTGTGGTGTGGTGATGCATTCCTGTAATCTCAGCAGAGGCAGGAGGATCTCTATGAGTTCCAGGTCAACTTGGTCCACACAGAGGATTCCAGGCCTACCAGGGCTACACAGTGAGACTGTTTCAAGAACAAAACAGAGACAAAAACAAAAGCGGCAAACATGGAGAAAGAAGCACAGGTCTGGGAGGGAGGTAGCTCAGTCAATGACATGCTTGCCTCAGCAGCATGACGACCTGAGTTCAAGGCCCTGCATGACATACAGACACAGGCTGGAGTGGGGTGCTTATAGTCCCAGTGCTGGGGAGGCAGAGACAGGGATTCCTGTGGTTCCCTGGCTGGTCGGTCTACACACATTGGTGAAATCCAGGCCGATGAGAAGCCCCGTCTCAAAGGAAGTAGGTAGCCTTTCTAAAGTTGACAGCCAGACTTGTCCTCTAGTTTTCCTCCATATGCACACACGTACCCCCCCCCAAGATAAATATGCTCATATGCACACATACAAATGCACTAAAAATGTAGAAACAATCCCCAATTATAGTACTGAAATCTTTCAAAAATTCATTTCTTTAAAAAAATATAAACTTAGTGGTGCTGTGGATCAAACAAACCAGGGCCTCCTATACGATAAGTGCACATCTACCATTGAGCTGATCACCCTCAACCCTAAAAATACTTTAAACATTTGACTTTAAAAATCAGTGGATTCATCTTCTGAAACATTTCCTTGAACATGTTTAAAAAATTATTAGAATGGAATTCACTGATAAAGTCATTTCTTTGTTTTTAGGCAAAGAGATAAAATTATAGACCATGACCAGGAACGCTAGGCACTAAGAGAAATCAGCAAACAAATGCGGTCTCTCATCTCACCTGAGAAACCTTCCCAAGCAGAATGCCTCTCTCCAGCCCACTTATTTGCAGATGCACGGTGTTCTGAAACTGATAGCATGGGGACCGGCGGCCTAGCTCTTTCTTCCCCGACTTCAATATGTTCTTGTGTCAGTATTTCTCCGTCTGATCCCTCTGATCTGCTGGAACTGTCACACTTTAAATCAGTGGTTCTGTTCTCTGGACTTAATCTTTCCTGTAACGAGGAATGGAGTTCAGCAGACTTTCTGCCTTCAGATAAATTACTCGTGCTGTGACGTGTGCTGCTCCCTATCTCCAAGCAATGAGTTTGTTCTTCCTCAGACAATACATGGCTTGTGACTGGCGTTTGCTCACCAATCTGAAGAGATGTCTTTCCATCTAGTTTGTCAGACTTATTTAAGCACTGTGTGTCACTATTAGTTTGTACTACACAGCTGTCTGTCACACAGCTGCTCTGGGCTGTCTGTTGGTGTGAATGTGGGTCAGGAATTGAACGGTTCTTTGTGGGCTGGTTAGATTTCTGCTCTGTACTGAAATCGTCAATGCTTGAGATGGCTGACATCTGGCGGCCCATAAAGATTGTTGCTGGTTGATACAATCCTCTTGACATGGCTGTCCCTGAGTTAATTCCTGCCTGCACTGCATCCTGCAAACAGAGGTGTGAGTTAAACACGATGCATATGAACAATTAAGTACGTTGCATATGAACAATTAAGTAGGAAGGGAAAGAGGTAAAGGAAGCCTAAACATGGAAATCAACACCTATCACCCATAAAACATGTCTTTCCACTTAATGAATTAGCAAGCTCTACTACAGCCCAGATTATTATTGTAATAACAATGTCACTGGACAAAGCAACTATTGCCAAAAAACTATAGAATTAATTTCTGAAAAATGAAATGCATGCATTTAATCCAGCTGAAGTACATGGCTAAGACAAAATGAAATTAGTAAATTTTAGGTTATGAATCTTTTACCCCATTGACATTCCCTGGAAAGTGGTGAGTTCTAAAATCCCTCAACACAGAGCTCATTGAGCACTACTCTAAAGGGACATGACCAAAGAATAAAGAGAAAAAGCAAACCAGGGGATACATAGGACAGACAATGCAAGGGTTCAACTCTATTTCTAGTGCTATGTCTAAAATAAAAACTTTCAGTGGTGACCTTCACAATGGCATTGAAGCAAATAATAGTCATACTTTGTAATCAACTAACATCAAAATTTCCTCAACATCTTTAAGGAACTTTTAAGTAATTTACATTTACTAGCATGCTTATAGGAAATCTGAGCCTGGTCTTTGAAGGGAAAAGGAGAGAAGAGAGAGGCAAAGCTGAGCAAAGACCTGGCTGGAACAGGGGTGCATGGTGCCAAGCAGAACTACAAGTAAGAAGCATGAAGCCTTCCAGAAGCTAAGTGCTTTATTCTCAAAGGACCAGAGCACTCCCACAGTCAGGAGAGTACTCACTTCCCAGAGGCTTACATTGTGGATGGGGAGATACAAAATGTATCTACACCCTTCCTCTACAGATGGAAATACCAACGTCCAAATTACATGACAAGAAATGTCAGAGACAACAGAATCCAGACTATATTTCTTTTCAAACATTGTCTCTTCTAATCCTGGAATAATGAAACAAAAACCACAACCCACCCCCCAAACTCTGAAGTCAGCAAATCAAGGATGCCAGAGAAAGGTGATGGGATGACATGGCACTACATGGCCTCTGTCCCTCAGCAGAGGTGACAACCCTGAAAAGCTCTTCAGTCTCTGGGACTTAATCAGCTTTCTAGGAATCTGGAGAGCATTCACTTAGGAGAACCAGTTAGATCTTAAAAAGAACAGTAAGCTTCTGGGTTGCCAGGTGCTAGCCAAGTTGACAACCTGTAGTCACAGTGACAACCAGCCAAGCAGCCACTGGAAGAGGAATGGGGTGGGGGATATTCTCCCAAGGGCCCCATTTCCAGACAACAGTCATCATTGGACTATCTGGTATCTCCTTGGGGGACTCCAAACAAAAGACTATTTTGACTTGAACTAGCTTTGAACTGACAAATAGCCTTGTTCCCAAGCTGAATTTGCTGAAAATAATCAGAAGCAGTTGTTTAATGTGGAAGCTGCCTAAGACAGTAGACAGTACTTAGAATAAACAAAAGGCTATACACATTTTAAAGAGTGGTCAAAGAGCTGCCTGTGGGGGTGGGGGACTCCGGAAGGTTCTAGAATACTCCTGGGAATCTAGATGACCACCTGCATGCTCTGGGCTGGAGGAATGCTCAAGAAACACTTCTAGGAAGTAAACACCTGAGCTCTCACCTCAAGCTCACTTTGAGGCTCGAAGCAAGAAGTGAAGGCCAAGGTGGAGCTCAACGTACTTAGAACCCCTTAGCACAGGCGGTGAGAATCCCAGTCCCAGGCATTAAAGAAAGATAATGGTTACTAAGTAAATTTAATAGAAACCTCGGTGGCCACACGTGAGAAATAATACACATTCCACATAACTAAGTCACAAAATGGCTAAACAAACAGAAATTAATGACAAATTCTGGGAGAGTAGAGCTTTCAGAGTTGCCATATTTAATTACTTACAAATGAAATGAAAAGAAATAATAAACATTGTCTCATATAGACAGTGAGCATATACAATCAGTAAAAACTATCTCTAAGGAAGTCCAGGTATTAAGCTGACTAGATAAAGGCATTAATTTAGCTATAATTAGCTAAATATGTTTAAACAATTAAAAAAAGAACTAGAGCATTCCAATCTTCAGAGGCTGACTCTTCAGGCACCCAGGTGAATGACTTTGAAGTCAGCAGGTATGTCTATTGAGACCAATCTCAAAAGTGGAAAGGGCAGAGGAGGGAGGGGAGGAGGGAGAAAGAGAAAAAGAGATTTTAAATATGAGAATAATGTCCAAATAAAGAATATTATAAAGACATATAAATTATAGGACTGAAGCCAGACATACCTGTAATCCCAGAAGTTGGGAGGTAGAGGCAGGAGAATAAGGAGTTCAAGGCCAGTCTTGATCTATAGAGAATTCAAAGTCAGCCTGAGATGCATGAGATACTATCTCAAAAGAATTAACAAAAAGTATAGGGCTAGCTTGATGTGATGAGGCATGCCTTTAATACCAGTACTCTGGCAGAAACAAGCAGATCCCCATGAGTTCGAGAACAGCCTGGTCTACATGGAGAATTCTGGGCCAGCAAGGCCTACATAGTGAGATCCTGTCTCAAAATGAACAAATTATAGGACTAGAGGTGTAGCTCACTTGCCAACTATAAGTAAAACCTAGGTTTAAACCACAGCGCAAGAGATATAAATTATTAAAAAGGACCAAGTGGGAATTCTTCAGCTGAAAAGTACAATTATTGAAATGAAGAAGGGCTTAGCAGCAGATCTAAACAGACAGAAGAATGAACTAGCAATGCTGAGATAGGTACATTGGGATTGTGCAATCTGAGAGAAAAAAGAATGAAGAAAATCGTGAGCCTCAGAATACCATTTACTATATCAAATGCATTAAAGTCCCAGATGAAAGGAGAGGACAGAAAAAGGCTGTGGGGAGGGATCTTTATAATTTTGTAATAAGCACATTTCAAAGGTACCAGAAACATAAAAATAAGTGAAAAGGTGTTATTCTCTATATCCCCTAAGCTTGACTTGTATACAAATCCTGTCAAAAAAAAAAAAGTTTATTTTTCAATCTGGTTTGAGTCTGGAATACAATTCCATACTGATTGCAAAATGGTAGTTACCAAAAACCACGCTAGCCCACCAAAAACCAAAGTAATGTTTTCAGCGAAAACAGACTATTTCTGAATCTGTATTAGCACTTGACTACAAAAGCAAACTTGTACTAACACCTAAGCTGTCTTCTCACTCCTATACAACTTAGAGCTTCAGCCTCCAGATGTGGAAATCTCAAATAGCCTTTGGAGCTAAGTGTACACAATCACTGCACAGATGATCAAAGGGTTCTGGGGACCTTTGTTCGCTGGTGATGAAAGTTACAGTGAAATGGTGAATCCTTTTATGCACCCAGAGTAAGCTCTACGGAGAACTATAAAATCTGAAAACTAGAAGGTACCAGGATAAGGACAGAACAAGCTCCACCACTGCACTGGAACATCCCTCTAGACTTCAGGAAGAGTACAACAGTCAAAATCAGTCACTACTCTCCTTACTCACAGGAACAAACAGTATGTTTTCCTCCAAACAGTCTTGTCAATGCTTGCCTTTTACTGTTAATTAAAAAAATCGTCTGCCCTCATGATGGGGTCATCATAGTTTTTTGTTTGTTTGTTTTCAGAATACACACTATACACATGCACTTGGAATCACTGGCTGCTTTTTCTACGGTCTTTGTTTCCCTGAGTAGATAGGTGTTGGAGCCTCTTGGACGCTTTCTTTTACAATGGACACAGGCTGTTCAAAAACAATCCCATTATCTTTATCATCATTCATTTCAACCACTTCTGATTTCCATCTTTGCAAAAATGGTATACAAACTGGAGTGGGGCTCTGGCTAGCCCCAGGCTTCTCTGGAGTGTTAGGAGTGCCCCATGAAGCTCTTTTCTCTTTCTTCTTCTATAAGCCTGAAACCTCCTTTTTCATATAAGGTACAGCAGATGGGGAAAACTATAATGAATTCTTTCTTCAGCTAATCTCTTCCGGAGTAACTTTTGTTTCCTTTTAAATCACTCTTCTATCTGTGTCCACATTTCCAATTCTGATTATCCTGTTTCACCGCTGGATATGATGGCTAAGGAAATGGAACATTCTACTCTTCAAAAAGCTCTACATGTACTTTTTCTGTTGGCATAACACAACACCGCTCAAGTCTTTCACCAAATGGTGGTGTTCATTATTTCCACAACCATCTTGGCAACATCCTCATTCTCAAACTCCACCAAAGCACAGCTACAGCTACTTCCACATCCTTTCACTTCTGGACAGTCTGAATCCTGTAATAGTGCCAAACCAGGAGAAATAGGCATGGATCTGGCTTTTTAAGTGCTGGAGGTAGGTGGCCCCAAAGATTGCTCCAGAAATGGGGAGGGGTAATGTGTATATATGTACATGCTTGTGCATATGTACGTATGTACGCACGGAGGCCAGAGGTCAATGTCAGATGTCTTCCTCAGTTTTTTCTTATTTTTTGAGACAAGGTCTGTCTGAACCTGGGGCTGTCTGGTCGGCAACCCCCGGGGATCTGCGGTGTCTCTGCTTCACTAGGGTTGGGATGGCACACATGTATCACTCGCTGGCTTTTTTACATTAGATGCTGGGGATCTGAGCTCATGTCCTCATGTCGGCATAGCCAAGTGTTCTGACTCAGCCATCTCTGCAGGAGGAAGTTTTTTCTTGATTTTTCTTCTCTGTTCCACGTTGGCAAACCCATGCCATCTCCCTCTGAAACTGAGTCTTCTTGCAGATTCAGCAAAAGACTTGGCTTAGCTAGGCCAGGAAAACCCACCATGCTGAAGGTAGCCAAGCAGCACAGCACCACACAATGCTTTCCAACAATAAAAATTCTGAAAAACTTCCCGAATTAGATGAAAAACATGAACTTACATAATAGAGCTGAACAAAGCAAAGTAGGATAAACTACTCATTAGTTTTAGAAGGAAAACTAA